TTCCTTTATAATAGTCAAACCATCTTTATATTCTTTTAGAATATTTCTAAGACGAGTTGTTATTGGTTCATGTTGACCAGCATCATCAAATATATCTTCAGTTATGTTAAGTTGATCACTAAGTGGAGCTATTCCCAGCTCTGCTGACAAATGAGACACTTTTGGATGTATTAGATGATACTCTTCACCTGAAGCATTAGCAATATTACAAAGCACTTCATTATTGGTATAGGCCACTTCTTCAGCAGGAATAAGATTAGGATAAGAGGACTTACTTTCAACTGGTACAAGAACATTGCCGTCACCAATTCTATTGATATCTTCTGCTAGCCATTCTAGTATAGCTGTGACTACTGTCCAAGCTTTTGCAGCATTTATTTGATTACGAGGAGCATATTTTATTGACTGAAGAACATCAAAAATCTGTTGAGGTGTTACTTGGTGATTTATGCCAAATAAGGAAAATATATCTGCAAAACTTGACAAATTGCTTGGTAATACATAAACAAATGGTTCCAAATTTGCTTCAAAGTTAGGATTAGCTTCTATTGCTATTTGCTGTGGGCGTAAAAACTTGTTTTTAATAAATACCCAATTATCAATAGCGGCAAAAGTATTTACACTACAAAACACTCTATTCTCTTGTAAATAGGTATATGTTTCAACAGAAATTTTCAATAAAAGATCTTTTCGTATTTTATGTTCATTCTTAATTACCTCATTAAAATGAGATACAATGGCTGTTATTAGAGCTTGAGATCTTCCCAGTTGCCCCACGAGTTGAGCTGGAACTCCTTCAACAAATAAGGCTTGAGAGCCTGCTATTAATGGTAAATGAGATGAAGAAAGGTCTTCTGATACTAACATCAATGGATTAGCAATAGACATAGCTGAAGCTAAACAAAACTGATACTGTGAGCCTCTCCACTCTAAACAGGAAGGATATTCATCAGGATGCTTACTTGCTACCGGTAGCCAACATGACTGTGCATTGAGCCTTTTTAATTCAACTAATAGTGAGTATGAATTTGTGGATACTTTCTGACTCAATTTATCAGGAAATGATGATAAATATCGCAAAACTGCCATGGCTTTTGAATATAACACGCTACTGGTTTTTGCAATACCAATACCAGCTGTGGATTGCAAGCAAATAGAGTTGACTATTTGATAAATTTCACTAGCACTTACAGATAATTTTAAGCCACATTCTCGTAAAATAGGCAAATAAGGTTTAAATTCTGCCCCAGGAAATTTATCCTCACCATTGAATAATTTTACAAGAAACTCATTTTCAGGGTCAAACAGGTTACATGGTGCCTTATATGCTCCCAATAACGCAGTCTTAATAAATGGCAAATCTCTTAAAGCACCAGCTATTTGCTGCTTATAACGAGGACTGCTAAAATTGTCAAGAACACTTAACATAAAAGGAACTACATTATGAAATTTTCCATTCCTTATTTGCTGAAACGCAATTTGTAGAAGGTAGTCAGTTTCACTCATGAAGCAGAGGACATTAGCATTATATAATGCTTTTAACAATTGCACATCATTGTGGCTATAAGTATCAATAATGAAAGGATACTTTTCAATTAGATCTGTTTTAAATTCATACCTACCGTTCATAGCAATTACTTGATTATTATATGACTTAATTAAATTCAGCGAATAGCGAGTTAAATCACTGCACTGTAAAACTTCAAAAAGAGGCATTTCACTAAATGTAGATAACTTATTTAAGTCATAAAAACTAGAACTACTAAAAAACTGTTGAAGTGCTAAAGCCTCATTTTGTAAAAAATTTATACTGCCAAACGTGAATGATTCCATTGCATCTAATATTTCATTTGGATCAAATTGATATATATATTCTGAAAGTTCTGAATGAGACAAGTATGGAAAGTCACGAGAGTCAGCAAATTTGATGCCACACTTTTTAAAACCAGCAACAATCTGCTTATTTGACCCAAATGAAGACAAAAATTGAGGGATATAAACTACTCCTGCTTGCCTTTTTAACTCCAGAACATTTGTGCTACCTGATGGTAGTTTTACTGGTAAAATTTTGTTGTTTTTAAAAGGAGATAAATTTCTTTTATTGAGCCACTCCCAAAAGTGTCGCAATTGGTCTTGTGACCATGACCTTGTGTTGCATTCTACTAATAAAGTAGATACTCTCATTTCATTAAGTAAAACTAGCTGTGTCTGACCATAAAGTGCTATTGTATAAAGACTCATATATAATTTTTGGTCTTCATCATACATTTTTACAAGCTTAGACTCTAAACCAGGCAACAAACTGCTTGGATAATCTGGACTGCAAAGATAACTAGATGATTCCAATGCTATTCTTTTAAATTCCTGAAAAGAGCCATCAGCCATTGGTAATAACCAAAGACCAACTAAATCAGCATAATTACTGTCAACTAAACAATATCTTAAAATATCAAGTTTATCCTTTCTTGTTACACTGCTGTAAGCTGACTTATAGCGCTTTAAATATATTTTTGCTAATGCTGGACTTAAATCATTCTTAGTACCAGTATAGTAGTTTATAATAGCTTTAATGCAATTGCCACTTAACATGACTAAATTAACATTGCATCTCAATAGAGCCTCAATAACAGCTTTTGGAACATCATGAGCTGCAAAAACAGCTTCTGTAATATTAATCCATTTTCCTCCATCTAACTGAGTATAAACTATTTTGTTGTGACTAAATAAGAAATTGTAAAATGGTTTTAGTAGGCCACCCCATTGTGTGCCACTTACTTTTTCTATGTCGGGCCAGTAGTTATAAACTTCAGGCGATTTCATATCCATTAATTTGGAAATTAATTTAAAGTAACAAAAAGGCAAGCAGTCTTCAACCAGCATCTTGTTCCACATTGCCTGTTCATCGTGTCTTCTCTCTTGTGCTTCCCATTTTATGGATCGTCGATTACTGCTAATGGCAAAAGTACCATTAACATGTATATAAAATGGTGATCTGTCTTCAACTGGCAATGGCAATACACAAAATATACGTCCAAAATTCGGTATTAAATTATTCAATTCAACAGCAACTCCAACCCAAGGAAGAACATTCTGCTTTTCTGCTAGATGCCTCACCTTCTGATTGTTTGAGCCAACCTGATGAATAACTAAAAATTCATGCTTAATATGGCTTTGAGTTTCATTATCTTTGACAGCAACTTTAAAATGAGAACTCTCTACATGTATATGCATTTGCCCATATAGTGTTAAACTGCTTGCTTTGCTTGTAAGATCTTCAATGGCTCTCAAAATTTTTTGCTGATTTTGAATGTGTAGGCTACGATGCTCTTGACTAATGCTCACATTAAATATTGATGATATTACACCTCTGGCATTAATTTTCAATACTTCTATTGAACAAACAGACCTTAGAAAAAGCAACAAATACTTAGCCTCTTGCTTCAATGAACTTAATAGTGATTCCAATTTTGAAATATCATAAATTTCGCCCCATATTTTTGATGGCTTTTTACGCAGGGGAAATCTAAAAATTGTTTTCCCTTTAAAATTAGATAAACGACTAGAAAAACCCTCAATACCAATAAATGGGAGAACAGCTCCAGTACAATAATCACTTAAACTTTCTAAAGAATATCGCTGACCAGACATGCCACTCCATACTAATAGTTGAGGCTCCAGGAATACACATGTATCTTCACTGATAATAACTGGAAGGTCTATTATGAGAAAGTGGATAATTATAATAACAATTAGTTGACATAATGTGATGTGTCGGTTTATACAAGCTAACTTACCAGTAATGTGATACACAGAATTGAATCCAATTCCAAACTTTCCAACTTTATTTGGGCTATTCGCCTTTACACTCTGATAAGTGGTCTGTATGCCTTCCCAGTCTTCTTCTCTGAAAGGTGCATTATTATAAGAAAGAAGAGCAGGACCAGTGAACTGCTTTGACAACTCTTCTTGATCCCTAGCGGAAACACCTGACTGTGATTGTAGTAGTGAAATGGGGAGTGTCTCAAGATTACGATAGTCAAGATAGAACTTGACCTCTGTGGCTCGGGCATCATCAGCATTTTGTATGACTTCCTGTACAAATGTAGTAAAAGTGTGTACAGTAATTTTAATAATGCTTTAGTATACTTAGTTTATTAGTTTTAAGACAAAAATTTATAACTGTACTGCCCATTTTACATTAAACTTAACAAACAAGTAGGAAGTAATCAACTAGAAGGTAAAACTTTTGTTGATAGCAGGAAAGTAAATTCAAGTCGAGCATGCCATACATGTAGATATGGCAGTGATTTGAAAAGAAAATCTGGTGTACAAGATAATGTGACACTTAAAAAAAGTGATTATTGAATTTTTGAAACTTTTGTGGATCATTCCAAATGGTCATTAGCCATATGAATTTTAGAAACATTACATTAACCAACAATAAATGCACCTAATGTTGTCCACTACCTGAAACTATACACTTTTTGGCAATAAAACTCTAAAATCTGAACAGTGAGTATACATTTTGAATGCAAACACATTGAATGAAACAAATCAATGGTACAAAGAGAAACAAAAAACATTACTACTTTCAACTGTATTTCATTCTATTTCTGGCTTGATGCCATTGATTCCGGCATCAAAACAAGATAAAGTAACATGTGCATACAGTACAATGTACATTTATACTAAGAACTGAAACTGAACAAATACCCTAGCTACAGAGTTAGACTGCTATCTATTTCATTACCTTAAATATTTGGCCACTTGGATACTCTTGAAGAATATTCTTAATAATATCGTAAATAGGAGGAACTCTTTGACCGAAATCTTCTCCTCTCAATCCTAGACTAGAGCCAGTATCCCTCCGCTTGTTACTTGAATTTCCACTGCCAGCAAAGCTAGCAGAGGAACGTCGTTTCATGTTGGTTGAAAAGGCTCAGCAAAAAAACTTTCGTCCCGGGAACTCCCGCGAGGAAATATTTTCTAGTTTTGACCACACCTTTAACCACGCCCGGTTATATTTAGACTGTACCAAGTTCCTAAAGACTTCATTGAAATTCGTCATGTTCATGCAATTTGACTACAATGATTGGATTGCAGGTCAGTATTAAACAAAAATTGAGTTTAAGTTTTAATGGTTTATAATACATTATTGCTTGACTTAGGATGGGTTTGTGCACCATGGCGTCATGACCGGAAGTACTGTATAAACCTCGGTATAAACAAATGGTATGATGGGTCATTGTGTCATTATAGAACTTTTTGCTATTCTGACACATCAACACTTCTTGCTATTGGTTTGTATAGTACTTTTGATTGCAACGCTAGCACATGAAATGGGCATATCTAGGAATGGGAGAAGGAGGGTGCGCGCCGCGCGCCGCGATTTTGGCCACACCCACTTTTACGGCGGTAAAACGGCCTTTTCCTGCATTTTCGTCAATTACGGGTGGGGCCAAGATCATTTCAAGCATACTGCTATATTACTGGTACTTCTGATTGCTCCTTAAAACACTGGAAACTGCTGAAATCATGATCAGGGGGCTAGATAACTTTGTTAAGAGGCTTGGTAGTGATGCAAGAGTCCAGGACTTCAGTAATTTTTTCTGAGCCCAGCCCTGAGCCTGAGGGGGGTGCTCAAGCCCCCTCAGCCCCCCCCCTAAATACGCCTCTGCGAAAAACAATGCATTACAAGAACTCGCCTTTCATTCTTTATTTCAGCATTAGTCTCGCCCACTATTTCAGCATGCACCCTCACTTTATTTGTACGCACATAAATTTTTATTGCAATGATATTATTAATAAGCTGTTTTCCCAGACACCCACATTAGCCCGACCTGTAAAAGGAGAAGTATAAATTTAACTGAAGTTTAAATTTAAGTGAAGTTGCCTTATGTGAGTAATTTAATTAATTATTTGTAATTTGACCAAATGCCAAACTAATTTTTTATGCCTTTGCATTGGCAAGGTCGGACAATTAAAACCCACAATTCTAACTTGATGAACAGTGCACTATATAGTTCTTTAAAGTTTTAAAATGCTAAAGTATATGCGTGTAATGATGCACTTAATTAGATATGTAAATATGATTAGTGGTTGCCGAATGGTTTTATTGAATCAAATAATGCTTTACTGTAAATTTATGCAACAGAAAAATTTTGTGTTTCAAAATTGTGCTGTGATTTATTTTTTACGCAGTAAAACTGTTATGCATTATTGAATGTGGCATGTAACTGCAAAATTCTAATTCCAGTAAAATTGAAGTCATAGGAAAAACTTTCTGATAGATAGTACTTTATACTGAGTTATTCAGCAATGTATTATCAGGCTCATAAAAGATCCATTAATACATGTAAAATAATAATAATTATGTGTTATTTTGGATTCAGCTTTGAGTTGGTGTTTTGATTTGGCCTAATTCTTTTAATTAGACCTCAATTTGCAATTGAAAAAGAAACAATGTTTCCATTTTAGTTAAACAGTTTGACCAATTAATTTAGAATGACGATGATTAGGGATAGCAAGATGAAAGGTCTATCTCTTTTTATTATGACCGTACAATGTGTGCATGTACATGTATGTGTTAGCTAGCGCCTGTCATTTTACTACAGTATAGACCAGTTGGCGCTAAGTATATTCATAGAATTTTAAGTATATTCATCGTGATACCGTAAATAAAGTAAAATTTTCCTATCACCATTTTGGAGTCTTAGTTACTAAGAGTAGAATGGGAGAAAGTAATATCTTTGCTTCTATATCTTCTAGTGGCACTTATTAAAGTCCGTGAGCCAACTATAGAAACTGGATGATGGTCAGTAAGCAGTAGCAAGATTGTTGTAAAGAATAAGTACAGCAGTTTTTGGAGAATGAGCTCTTTTCACGATCGCCCCATAGACAACCATTGGAGCTAGGACTCCAAAATGGCAGCAAGAAAATTTTACTTTATTTACGGTATCACAATGAATATACTTAAAATTCTATGAATATACTTAGCACCAACTGGTCTATAGGGTCTTTGGTTAAATATTGCCAAAATTAATTAGGCAAGAATTTTTTATTTTT